AGCTAGGCTCATAGTGATGATTTTTGGTTAGAGAAACTTTCCAATAGAGTAAAGTATACTATTTTCATATTGTTTTTGTTGCATATCTTATTGTAAAGCTTAAATAGTTTTCGGTTCATACTCATGTATTGATTCAATAGAGTTGATTTCAGTCCTTTAGTTTAGTTATTTGTTTTATTCAGCCCTATTACATACTCATACATTTAATGTAATGATGTTATTTGACCTACATCGTTTCATGCTGAGGATTCAGGTATTTAGGATCATTAACAGGCGTTTCGTTGAGATCAGTTCATCTACTCGTCAGCTTCTGGTGAGACCTCCCTACTTTCGAAGAACTCCATTTTTATTGCTCTATAGTAGTAGGGTTTTGAGGTATCGTGGGTCTTGTCTCGACACCAATGTTTACATAGTAGAGACTTCATGGACATGCAGAGTTAGAAGATTTTGAGTATTTTTCTTATATGTTTTTTTAAAACACTTACTATTTATATTAAGTATTTTCAGACGTTGTTTTAAAAGCTCTTTAAATATTTAAATGCTCATCTATTAAAGCTTCTGTCATGACCCGAGCCTACACCCTGGACGTGGCCGACACTCAAGAACCATTGTTGGTCCCCAAGCGAACCCTCATCCTGGCTGACTACAAGCGGAAGACTAACTTGAGCATACATTAGCATCAAATTGAAAAGAAACGTTTAAAAATAGTTTATTGAATCTCAAAAATTCATTGAATATATTTAGTATGAAACATAAGTTTTAAATAAAATATCTGAAACTGGAAAACTCTTCAAAAATGTCTATCTATGAAGCCTCTACTATACAAAGTTGAGTGTCGGGACAAGATCCACGACTCCTCAAAAGAACTAGTACTAACAACTCATAAAACTGGAGTACTCCTAAAGCAAGGAGGTCTCATTCATAAGCAGATGAGCGGATGAAGTGAGCTAAGCAAACTCTTATTGAGGATCCTAAGAACATGTAGCTGCATCATTAAAAGATGCAGGTCGAATGACATCAATACATTGAATGTACGAATATGTAATATAGTTGAATAATAATTAACTGAAAGAAAGGATTGTAATAGATAACAATGTACTCAAGCTGAATGTAAAGATATAAAGGAGTTAAATCATTTAAAGCTTTACAAAATACTTTTTCATCTCTGAACTCAACATAATAAGTGATCTATAAAAATACATTTTAACTTTATTGAGAGATGCTCTAACCGACAACCATCACTATGAGCTACGTGATGATACATCATCCCTCCCACGCTGCCAAAACTGTCATATACCTTGCTGGGATATAGGACACCTCAACTAAGTGGATCCACTAAGCTATGCTTAAAAAGCAATAAGGAATCATCTAAAAAGTATGACCTTTTACCCATGTTGGCATACATGTTTTATGAGGACTTTGAGTTGTCTGAACTCGTCCCCATATCGGTGCTCAATATTACTTCCAATAATATATACTCATGCTCATATGCTTAAAAACATAATTCTTCCTCTGGTTTGAGATAATTGCTCAAACTACCCTCTTAAAAGAGGCAACTGCTCTTGAAATATCCTTTGAACTCATAACTCATTTAGAAATCTCAATTTCTCTTTTATCAATGTAAAAATTGATACCTCTGGGAATACATAGTCCCCTTATACTCTTACTCAATTCATACTTTAAAACTCCTTCTCAAAAACATATCAAAATCATATTTTAATATGAACATTGATGAATCAGGAAGTCATACTACATAAACATTGATGGTATATCTAGATACCATACTGCTCATACATTGATGGCATACTCGATTGTGATACTAATCATTTTTTAGAAACTCTTTTCTCAAACTCATCTTTACTTTCTCAAAACTCAGTTTAAGAACTCAAGTGTTGGTTTTAAAAAGCTTCTCAAATTTTATAACTCCAAAATATGGTTCATGCTGAAATATAGACATAAACAAATAAACTCAAGGATCTCAATAACAATATAGAAACTCAATAATTAGGAATAGAATTTTTAAAAAGAAACATGAAATCAAGAACTCAAAATCAACTTATCTCAAAAATACTCAAATCTAGGGAAAGAATACTAGATTACTCTTTTACTGATCTGAAAGTAGATGTAGGGCGTGAGGACGAACTAATCCAACACGATGATAGCTTTACATACCTAGAATAACAAGCTTCTTTAAGAATCTTGAAGAAGAACTTGATTAGAAGCCTTGAAACCCTAGATTTGAAGGTAAACAATCAAGAAAATCTTTCTTGAGATTCTTAAATTAGTTTTTTGAAATCTCTATGGCCAAGATTTATGATTTCCATTAGTGATCCATAATTGTATGGAGGAATTTGAGTTGGAAAGAATGAAACTCTTGGAGAAAGACTTACCTTGAAGAAGAATCTTGAAAAAGATTGAAAGAATCTTAAAAAATATTGAAAGAATCTTGAATGGAGTCTTCTACTTTGATTTTTCCTTAGGGTTTTTGCCCTAGGGTTTGAGAGAGAAGAAAATGATGGATTTAAAGATGAAAATCTAATTGTTTTGAGCCTTATATTAGTCAAGAAATTCGTTTAGAGTTTTCTTGGAAGTAAAAAGACAAAAAGACTATTTTTAATGTTTTCCCGTCGTCTAATCCGTCACAATATCAGTTACTAAAATGGTCATAACTTTTTACTTAGAAATTGGATTGATGCGAAATTGGTGGCGTTGGAAAGTAGATTCAAATACCTTTAATTTTATAGGTTATGGACCACATAACTCTTTATATTCTAAGATATATGGTCGTTTGAAGTTGTCCCAAGTAAAATCTTACATCAAACTTAATCGGTAAGGAACTTTCAACTCAACTTTGTGCAAGGAGTTTTTAGTGACCTTAATTGATATCCAAAATCATTCACACACTACGGAATTTACCTTTACAGATATGGAAAATTTAAGAATCACCCGATACGATCTTATTCACAAATAAAGAATAGCTTGAATCTTATCTTAAAATGTTTTGGGATGTTACAGCTTCCGCGTATTCTATTGAGTCATATGTGTCATAGTCAGCCGGTCCAAGGGTTCGTTTGAGGACCAACAATGGTTCACGAGTTTCGATCACATCCAAGGCGTAGGCTCGAGGCGTGACAGTTAAGTCATGCATTACTTGTTCTTGACAATATGTTATGTCAACAAATTACTTGTTTCCTACATAATAATAACATTTCACAAACTACTTGTTCTTAACATAATAACAGGTCTTTAATTAATTACTTGTACTCAACATATTGTCCAGTCATCGAGAAAAGGGTCAAATGCCCCCTCAAGCTTTAGCCATATTTCCAACTACACACTTAACTTTTGTGGGGGTCCTATTTCCCCCCCCCCCCCCCCAAATTTTTTTATATATTAGTTCACCCTCAGATGTTGATGTGTCCACATATGTGAACTCACCTTCTTGAGGTGCGTAAGAATGTAATAAAATGTCCATGTGGAGTCCAAATAAGCCTCCCAACAGTAACTTTACTCTTTATTTAACCATCGAGTTATTTTTTATTCTTTGCCCAATTCATTAATCTCCTTCTCTTTTGTTCTTGAATAAAAGTTCTCTTCTTTGTTCTTCATCCACCATTTTCAAAGCTTGACTTTAGTTGTCATATCTTCTCCAACTAAGATTGAATTTAGGGTTTGCAATTTTCTCCAATTTCATACTGAACAATCGAAATCTTCCCCAATTCGACAACTTAATTTTTTTTCACTTTGTGTTATTAGGGTTAGTAATGTCAAATGTGAAATTGAATAAGCTATGCATGGAAGAATCAGACCCAATGCTCAAAGCCATAGTACGATGCAAACATGGAAGTTTGTTGCATATGCAGACTTCTTGGTCGAAGTCAAATCCCGGAAGACGATTTTGGTCTTGCCCCTACTATGGTGTATGTGACTTTTCTTCAGTTGTTTGATTTTGTAGGGTTTAACTGATGTGAATGTTAATATATTGTTTTGATTTTTTTAATCGAACAATTGTAATTTTTTCGATGGAGAGACAGAGAAGAAATCAATCCAAGATTCAAATTTATCCTCCCAAAATTGGTGAACAAAATCAAAGAGTTGGAAGATGAAGTTTGGAGGAGACATATGCAAATCAATGAGCAACAAGTTCTGACTGATAATTTGACAGTAGAGAAGAGGTTCAAATGAAGAAAGTTGAAATGGTGTAGGTTTGATTGGAAGGTCATTTTGTGTATTTTGATTTGTGTTGTTGCCTTGTTCATCAACAACCTATTTCAAAGTAGGGTTGATTCAAGTATTGAACTAATTGAATTGCCATAACGTATGTGAGTAGTGAAAGGAGTTGAAACTCTCTTTTGGTTGTCATATGTAATATGAGAAATTTTGTATATCAATATCATGAATCTTTTCGGATAAAGTAGTCGATATATTAGTATCTATATTACAACAAATAAGGGAGAAATTTAATATACATAACACCATTTGTAAAATAAAAGGCCTTTAATAGACATAATCGGTTGTAAAACAGGCCTCACATAAGGTCAAATTACAATCAAAAACCAAAAACCATAAATAATAACATAATTTTATGTTCAATACTAATACATCATCATTCAAAATGGGAAATGTTTTTATGCCTACTTAAAATAGTACTGCAACATCATTACTTCCTAGATTGGATTGTTTGAACTACTTCCTCTTGATTTTTTTCTTTGTTCCTCTCTCATTTCTTGAAGTTTTCTCGTTGAGACTGCTACTTTTCCATTCCATTTCCACTTGGTTGTGTAGTACTTGGTTTGTAACCAATATCACCAGTAACATCAGCAGATTTTGTCACCTTTGTTGTACCAGTAGAAAAGATCTTACAACTTGACATTCCAGGTTGTATTCAAATTATGAAATAATTAGTGAGGTTGTAGTTAAACATAAAAAAATAGTATAATTGAATTAATAGAAAACACTTACATTAAGAGCTTTGAATCCATTTTCAGCTTGAAACACACTCATTCCAATGACTGCTTGCCTTTTATATGAGGTTGTGCTTCCCCTACCCCTTCCTCTTCCTCTGTTACTATTAGTTGACTGGTAATCAGCAGGTGTAGAAGATCCAACATGGTAATTAGCAGGTGATGGACATGTAGGAGGTGCACTAGGTGCTGCAGGTGGTCTTCCTCTTGCACTATTTATAGGTGCTGCAGATGCACTAGGTGTTGCAGATGCATTAGGTGTTGCAGGTGCAATAAGTGGTCTTCTTCTTGCACCTTTTGTAGGTGTTGTAGATGTACTAGGTGTTGCAGGTGGTCTTTCTCTTGCACTTTTTGCAGGTGTTGCAGATGCACTAGGTGTTGCAGGTGGTCTTTCTCTTGACCTCTTTGCAGGTCCTGGAGATGCACTAGGTGTTGCAGGTGGTCTTCGTCTTGACCTCTTTGTAGAATGCTCACCTTCTGTTTTTGCTTTCTATAAATATAGTTAAAAATAATTGTAGTTATTACATATGAGATCTCTATCACATACCAATTCAAAGTTAAAGATGTTACCTTTGGTCTACCTAAACCTGAAGTTTTGCCCTTTCCCTTGTCTGTATTTAATGGTTCTTCCCTTGTTGATGACTCAACCCTTTGTGAACATCCTCTCTTGTTGTGGCCTCTAACATTACAGTTACTACGTGTCATGGCGAATCCAGTTCTAGTTAGCTTTCCAATATTTTTACTTTCACCAACTTCATTCCTTCTAAGTTTACCTGGCCTGCCAGGCATGCTTTTTATTTCTAGTGGTGCAGCTGTGGGGTTAGTAGATACAGGCCATATCTCCATGTTTGTGGCAGGTTGAAGGACATTGGTATAAGTCCTCAAGTAAGTTTCCTTACTATAGCAGTTGTCAATGTAGTCAAGGGGTTCACATTTCTTAAAGTAAATGGCAGCCACAACATGTGCACATGGTATGCCTTTTAACTGCCATACCCTACAACTACAATCCACCTACCAAGATCCACACTGTGTGGACATAGTCCTTCTCTCACTTCAAACCCATCAACTCCATTAAATTCAATATTACATTTCATTGACCTATCAATATTCTCTTGTAGTACCTTCAAAGACATTGGAGAAAAATTACACATCCAAGTATTTGTGAACTCTCTTAACTTGGCTATTCTTGTCAACATCTTTACTCTTATCTCTTCAAGCATAGTAATAATTGTCTTGTGTCTAGCTGCCAAGATTCATGCATTAAAGCACTCAAACATATGGTTGTCTACAGAATCACATTTTACTTGAGTATTAAAGTAAACCTTACACCAGTACTTTATGTTGTAGTACATACGATCATCCATTATTATTTTTTTGGATCAAGCAACTTCATCTTTGCAACATTTTTCCTTAATTGAGATTCAAAGGTACTCTTTGCAATAGACCAAAACTGTTGTCTTTTTTGAGAATCTCAGCCTTGTCTCCCTTGTTTTACCCTAGTCACAATTATGGACCTCGAATCATACCCGAACTAACCCCCAAATCTAATTCAGTGTTCATCAATCGAATATAAGTTATAAGGTATGTTACAATTGTGGAGAACCTGGGCATATGAGAAGGAAATCAGCGAGGCCAGGGAAATGGTAACGCAGGTGGAGGAGTAGTACAGCCAGACAATGAGGTTGCCCGTCAAGATGACAAGGCTCAGTTTTATGTTTTCCGGGTAAGACCGAGTTTGAGGGTGTGATGTAGTGGTCACAAGTGCTACTCTTGTCTATGCCCGGATGACTATTGTTTTGTTTGATTCAGGTTCTACTTATTCGTATGTGTCAGTTCAATTGCCTTGGGATTTGATGTGGTTTGTGATATACTTGATGCCCTCATCCATGTTTGTACCCCAATTGAAGAGTCAGTCATAGTCACCCATGCATATCGTGTTGTCCTATTGTGGTTATGGATTTTCAGATTTAGGTTGATTTGGTTATGCTGGATATGACTAACTTGATATAATCTTAGGCATGACTTAGTTGTCCCCCAATTATACCGGGCTTAATTGTAATACTAAGTCGGTAACTCTAGAGATTCCTGGTAGGGAAAGATTAGAGTAGGAAGAGGTGTACAAGCCTAAGCTAGCTAAGATCATATCATCCATTTGGGCTAGGAAATTGGCAGGGCAGGGTTGTTTGACTTATTTGGCTCATGTTTGGGATGTTGAGGTTGAGTCTCCCTATATTGAGTCTATTCCTGTGGTATCTGAGTTTTAAGGAAGTGTTTCCTACGGATTTACCTGGTATGCCTTCATATAAAGATATAGATTTCTGCATTGACTTGGAAACTGACACTTGCCCTATTTCCATCCCTTTGTATCGTATGGCTCTAGTAGAATTAAGAAGAGCTTAAGGCTCAAAACTAAAAGCTTCATGATAAATGTGTCATCCGTCCTAGTGCTTTCCTGTGGGGTGCTCCTGTCTTGTTTGTTAAGAATAAGTAGGGTGGTATGAGGACTAGTGAATTTATCTTAAGCCATAAAGGAGTGGATTGATACCGGAATGACAAGCTTATGGATAAAGAAAGTCCTATTGAGTATACTTGGGTGAAGGAAATTGAAGTAATTAGTAAGAAGGTGCGTATAAAATTGGGTTAGTCCTTTGAATTTGATGAGTTTACCTGAGTTTGAGGTGTCATGTTAATGAAAAAGGTTGATTTCGTAGTGATAGTCAAGGCTGACGGAGCGTAATGGCAATAAGAGTTAGTGATGGATTGTGACGGACTATATAATAAAATTGTTAGTTAAGCAAATTTTGTATAGTAATTACGACTTGTGAGTATCTAAGGTTGTGGTTTTCTAATAGTTGGTTAGTATCTAAGGTTGTGGTTTTCGAATAGTTGGTGAGTATCTAAGGTTGTGGTTTTCTAATAGTTGGTGAGTAACGTGGTTGTATGGAAAGTTTTAAGAGATGGTGGGACACTATTCGAACCGAATTTAATAGAGCTAGAGTCATAATGAAGAAAAATAGTGGGATGTCGTACAACCTTTAGAGAGAGGTGAGACTAAGAATATTTTATTGGATTCTTAAGGCCAAAGAGGTATCTTCAGAGGGGTAAATAATTAGGTTCAGAGATGCGTGATTTCATTGTTTTGTTGTGGCTATGGTAATAGTGTCATGGGTCCATCAAATGGGTTAAAAAGTATTCAAAAAGACTTGAGAAAAGATTGTGCAGACATTAGCTTGAGCGTGATGATAAGTGCTTGATTTTGTTTTTGAGTTTAGTAATGAGTATTATTGGATTGTTAGCGAAAGATATTGTAAGATCGATGGAGATGCGATCGATGATAAGCGAAGATCCAAAATTTCATAAAAGCCTTCAAGATATAAGTTAATGTTGATAGGTAAAGGGGATTTGTGTTATACATTTGAGTTTACAATTCAGAGTTTTCATTGTAAGTCTACATTTGTGGTGATATATTTTGTCAAGGTATGAATTGGAAAGGTTGGAGTGTTTATGATGGTTGTTAGTGTTGTGAGTATGATTCACTAGTTATGTTCTAGTGTGTTTTCACTTTTGTGGGTGGATCCCTAGTGGTGGATCAGGGGTACCAAATCCTGCAATGTTCTCTTGGTTAAGTGGGATGATTGGGAATATTTGGTTATTTCAAATGACATAATTAGTGTTGTCTTGGAGTTGTTAAAAGTATTTTAGTAGTTCTATATGTACCACTTTGCTTATGAGAGTTCATAGAAGAGCTACCATGTGTAATTATGGTTGTCCGAGAATCTTAATATTCATCTAGTCATCTAGTCATCAAGGTCATGTATTGATTATGTGTGGTTGAATGTGGGGATCAATGAATCCAATTCTACTATTCTTAAGAGGTAATCTATAATTACTAAATCTGGCATTTCGATAGTGTTGTTGGAGGGGTTGTCTGCTTGGACATATCCCTCGATGAGTATATGATTTCTAAAGATCAATTTTGTTATAACTTAAGCTCATGGGAATTTATGTTATGGGATGGAGATATTGTTAAGAATTATGATTGTTTGGGTATTATGAGTGTGTGTTGGTTGGTTCAGGTCCACCTCTAATTGTAGCAAGTATTGATTTAAAATTTTATTATGGTTATATGAGAAAGGATTCGTTCTGATGTTTGTGTCAAGATCCTGATAACATGTGGCAGATGTGTGTATGATCAATTTAGGTATTTGTTGGGAATCATTTTATTGTTAGTTAAGTTTACATACAACAATATTTATCACTCGAGTGCTGAGATGACTTCATTAAGGCATTGTAAGGGAGGATATGTAGGTATTCGATTGGTTGGTCTGAGTTTAGAGATGTGAAACCCTTAGGGGGTAATGAGATTCAGTAAGAAGAGCATGCGAGACAAGTATCCCCAGTAATTCGACGATTCAAATGCTACTCTACCCTCACTTTAGCCAGTCTTTCCTAGTTGATCACTCGGGGATGAGTGATGGATAAATTGGTATCTATTGTAATGACCTGATTTCCGTCGTTAGGGAAAAACCAATGGAGAAAGAATTGGAGTCACAAAACTTTTGGTAGTAACTTGGAATTTCCTAATCTAGTCCAGATTTGGTCGAAATCAGAGTCATTAAGGTGTAGGGAAATCTGGTAACAATCAGGCAATCGGGTGATTTAATTATGATTTTGATTACATGGGTAGTTAGATAAGTCGTTAAGAAATTTATACGACTTTATGGAATTGAATTCGGGTGAGTAGAACTCCCGGAATTGATCTTAGCGTGAACGATATTTTCTGAGCGTCGTTGGTTAAATGTATGTTGTGAAATAGGGGTCTTGGAATTATTAAAATAGCTCCTGGTTCCGCGCAAGCCATTGGGGCGGGATTTCTGCTACCAGGGCGAGGCCGTTGTAGCAGGGTGAGGACCGTTGTGGCAGGTTCGACTCGACTTAAAGTCGTAAATAAACCCTTAAACGACATTTTTTGGCACTTTTCAATTTTTAGAGCTAAGGAACTAACCCCATGAGACTCTTACTCATTTTTCACCATTCTTGAGGCTAAAGGTAAGCTTTTCACTCCCCGAATCCATTTTTCGATCCGTAGAACGTAATAGAATGGGTAAATATTGATGGGAAAGGGTTTTTTCATTGATTCTATTATGGAAAAAACCCTAATTTGGATAGTTGGGATCATGGGTTTGATCTAGGATTCATAGAATTGTTAGTAATTCAGGTAATTAGTGATTGATTCTAGTATTAAATTGTTGTTTGTAGACCTAGAACAAGCAGAAAGAATTCGGAAAGGGAAGATTCAAGTGCCTTAGGAGATTCAAGCTTGGATTCGAGGTAGGTGATGGTTGTGATTCTATGATTGTGTGATGTATGCCTGTTCTTGCTTCATTATGATACATGTATGTATATGAATGTTGCATTATTGATTACACCTATTGTAAATGAGATAGATGAATGATGGTTACCATGAAATCATGACTTTAATGTATGATCTTGAGAATATACTTGTGATTGTGATTGTGGTGTGTTGAATGGATCGGTTGCCACGTTTCGGCATAACTAACTTAGATCGGTTGCCATATTCTGGCATAACTAATTTGGATCGGTTGCCACGTTTCAGCATAAATATGGGATCAGCTGCCACGTTTCGGTATGCTAACCGTTTGGGTGTGGGTTCCATGAGAGGACCATTGAATTAGGTTTCGTGAGAGGACTATTGAATTTTGTTGTGTAGCTACTTGTGATGAGTTCGTTCATATCTAATGATAATTGATATTGAAAGACGGTATGTTGCTCTAAATAGATATAACTGTGATATGTGAGAATCGTGAAGTTGTTCGTTGTTCGTATATATTGATGATATTGTATATGTTTGATATGTGCATGTGATTATATTGTTGTATTGACTAATGTATGTTACACTTAATGGGATAGCCGCGTGATCCTACCAGTACACTGTGGTTGTGTACTGATACTTCACTTGCTCTTTCTTTGTTGAGTACAGGGCATCTTCAGGTGGCTATTGATAGACCTCATCTAAGTGACTATCGAGCGTGATCGGATTCAAGGGTGAGCCAGTTCTTTCAGGCTTCCATGAATCTTTCTTGTTTAAGTCCACTCTTTTCGGACTCAGACTATTTGTTTAAGGTGTTGTTTAGTTTTGGGGTTGTACCCCTTGTTCTTAGACTTGTCGTTAGTAAAGTTTTGGTACAATGACTTTCAGGTTCTAGGGGTTGAATTTCCGCATTAGTTTGGTTAGTTAATTGTTTAAACCTTTGGAGTTTTGGGGACTTCATTTTTATTATTATTTAAACCTGCTTCCGTATCTTTAAATGTGTAGTATTTGGTTAAGTTGTTAGATTTGGGTTGTAGTAATGGTTCTCTCACCGGAGGGTTAGTGTGGGTGCCAATCACGACGGTCTGGGTCGTCATTACCATAAAATCATGACTTAAATGTATGATCTTGAGAATATACTTGTGATTGTTATTGTGATGTGTTGAATGGATCGGTTGCCACGTTTCGGTATAACTAACTTGGATCGGTTGCCACGTTTCGGTATAACTAACTTGGATCGGTTTCCACTTTCTGGCATAACTAATTGGATCGGTTGCCACGTTTCGACATAATTATGGGATCGACTACCACATTTCGGCATAATCATTGGATCGGGTACCACGTTTCGATATGCTAACTGTTTGGGTGTGGGTTCCATGGGAGGACCATTGAATTGGGTTTCATGAAAGGACCATTGAATTGTGTTGTGTATCTACTTGTGATGAGTTCATTCATATCTAATGATGATTGATATTGGAAGATGGTATATTGCTCTAAATTGATATAACTGTGATATGTGAGAATCGTGAAGTTGTTCATTGTTCGTATATGTTGATGATATTGTATATGTTCGATATGTGCATGTGATTATATTGTTGTATTGACTAATGTATGTTACACTTAATGGGATAGCCGCGTGATCCTACCAGTACACTGTGGTTGTGTACTGATACTTCACTTGTTCTTTCTTTGTTGAGTACAGGGCATCTTCAGGTGGCTATTGATAGACCTCATCTAAGTGACTATCGAGCGTGATCGGATTCAAGGGTGAGCCAGTTCTTTCAGGCTTCCATGAATCTTTCTTGTTTAAGTCCACTCTTTTCGGACTCAGACTATTTGTTTAAGGTGTTGTTTAGTTTTGGGGTTGTACCCCTTGTTCTTAGACTTGTCGTTAGTAAAGTTTTGGTACAATGACTTTCAGGTTCTAGGGGTTAAATTTCCGCATTAGTTTGGTTAGTTAATTGTTTAAACCTTTGGAGTTTTGGGGACTTCATTTTTATTATTATTTAAACCTGCTTCTGTATCTTTAAATGTGTAGTATTTGGTTAAGTTGTTAGATTTGGGTTGTAGTAATGGTTCTCTCATCGAAGGATTAGTGTGGGTGTCAATCACGACGGTCTGGGTCGTGACAGCCGTTCTAGTAGGCAGACCGCATGCTCTTGAACGACTCGGTTACTCTCCGAGGAAATTTGGTAAGTCTTATGCCATGCATACCACACTTCATTCTGTTGATGTACCTACATCTTACCCTTAGGCTTCTACATAAACTTGTTGGAAAGAGGCAATGTCGGCAGAGCTTCGTGTATTGAATGAAAATTCTACTTGGGGCTTTATTGATAAACCAACATATGGAGTTCTCATTGGAACTAAGTGGGTGTATTCCATTAAACTTAAGGCAGATGGTACAATTGATCGCTACGAAGCTCGATTAGTTGCTAGCTCAAGGGTACAAAATATGAGTATAGGGTGGATTATGAGGAGACTTTTGCACCTGTTACTAAGATGACAACGGTACAAACATTATTGGCTGTTGACTTCAATGAGAGGCTGGACCTTAAATCAGATGGATGTGAAAAACGCACTTCTTCACAGCGACCTGGAAGAAGTTGTGTTTATGAAACCACCACATGGGTGTGTTCTGCCAAGACCAAAATACTTGGTCAATCAATTAGTAATAGTAAATTCTAATTAACTGTAAATAACAGGTCTCTGCTTGTGAGTTAGTATATTACTTATAGAAAACATAGGGTTGGCTTGCATATGCGTTTGGAAGAAATAAGTCGTTTGCATCAGCGTCAGGGACTTAAAATTAATTATTTTATTTACTATTCAACTATTAATGTTTTGATCTTAGCTGTTGTTAACACTGTCTAATGCAAAGGTCTCCCAACTGCAGAGATGGAATCAACTCAGCGGAATGTCAATGGGTTAACCTCAAACACGCTCAGGTGTTTTCCAAGTACGTGTGGACCTTGCACCAAATATAATTGAGCAACAAAACAATTTTTAAAAGGAACTGTTCAAGTGTAAGAAGAACATCAAAATGTTTCGACTATTAGTGGGATACATAAATAAGTACACTTGACATCAAATTTATTATCTCTGGACAAATAAAAGAGAAAAAAGAAATTCATGTTGAAGTCGTGGCCGTTCTGAGTTTGTATTGCTAGCAAAATCATCGATCACCTTCCCCCAGGAAATGGTATAGTTACATGGCTCGTTATGCTATCAACATGGATACTATGTTCACTATATTCGTATCCAAATCCAGGCAGTAGGGACTCAATCTCCTCTGACTGTTGATCAGTTTGAGCCCATGAATGCTTCAATTTCGATCCAGCTTCCAATTCTGCTGCAACTTCCTTCATTGTAGGTCGATCATCCCCTTTAACATTTAAGCACCTTTGTGCAATCACAGCAACATTTTTCAATTGCCCTGCATTTCCCTCATCACAGACTATATTGTCGTCTAGAATATCGAACAAATGACCCTTTTCCACTGAAGATATGAAATATTGAGCTAAACTTCTCTCTTCTTCTGGTCTTTGAAAACATAGAGCCTTTCTACCGGTTAGGAGCTCTACAAACACTACTCCGAAACTGTATACATCACTTTTTTCGGTGAGTTGACTTGTTTGCAAGTATTCAGGATCTAAATATCCTAGAGTTCCTTGAACCAATGTAGATAGCTCTGTTTGATCAGCAGGAACCAACCTGGATGCTCCAAAATCAGATACTTTGGCTGTGTAGCTTTTGTCTAGAAGAATGTTGACTGACTTAATATCTCTATGAATGATAGGAGGGTAAGCTGCTGAGTGTAAGTAGGAAAGTACTCCAGCAGTTTCTGCAGCAACTCTAAGACGAATATCCAAAGAAAGAGAGGACGCCTTTAATTTGTCATGTAAGTGTTCAGAAAGTGTTCCATTGCTGATAAATTCATATACCAGTAGTGGAACTTCCGTCTCAAGGCAGCAACCTAAGAGCTTAACTACATTTCTATGGTTGATTTGTGAAAGGACAAGGACTTCATTTATGAATTGTTCAATTTGATTGCGATCAATTACCTTAGAATTTTTAATGGCAACGATGCAATTATCTTTGAGATATCCTTTGTACACAGTTCCATAACCTCCTTGACCAACAACTCTATCTTTGTCAAAGTCATTAGTTGCCCTTTGTAGCTCTTCCGCTGTGAAAATGTTTACTGTATTAGTATTACTTGATCCCTCTTCCACTTTGAGTCGTTGCAGTAGAACTAATCCACCATTTTTGAAAAAACCTCTTTTTCATCATTGACATTTTTCTCCTTTGGAATGCAGTATATGACCAGCCAAATACTATAATAACCATTAAAGCAACCCCTGCCGTAATGCCTGTAATAAAAGTATGTTATTAACATAAATACATGAAAATCTGTGGTTTTATTTTTCGGTTCATGAGTTGTGAATGAAATAATCAAATGAGTAGTACTATTTAACGGGCTTATCAAAGAACTACCTGCAGAATTCCAAAGAAGTTAAGAAAGGTACCTATAATAAGAAAAATATTCTGAATTTTTCTCTGAGGATTGTCACGATTGCATTCAGGATAACCATCGCCGCTGAAATCTGGATGGCATGTGCATGTATAACTCCCATCTGTATTGGTGCAAATGGCATTTTTGACACACCTATAATCTGGTTGCGGATCTACACATTCATTGATATCTGCAGACTCGTAGAGCACAACCAACCGATAACGTAAACATTCATTTCCAAAATGATAGATTTGATATAATTAAAATCGTATTAGGAAACTCTCAAACATATACATACCTTGACAACCATCTATCAGGTATGGATTCCCATCATATCCTTGCATGCAGGAACAGCGATAACCATTTGAATCATCATGGCAATAGCTGTTGTTACTCTTACATGCATATGCAGTCGAATTTCTCTTAGCTATTTCACATTTGTCTTCACCAACTGCCCAATCTAGCACAAGAGGAAGCTTCTCCGTGTTCTGCAAACTGCTGAGGTAACTCTTAGAAAAGTTAAAATTAGCTTGATCGACCACAAAAGCATAGCTGCAGCTAGGGTTATTTGTCATATTAGTATAGTTATAATTATAATAGCTGCTTAGTGTTATATTGACATTCGATGCTCCCTTAGGGATGGACGTCTTGCAACAACCCACTCCAGAACATGTATCATCATCAGCTTCAGCAATACTATTGCACATGGACATGCATCCTGTTATGTAGGGGAGATACTCGATTTTAGTTCCAAACTTGGTATAATAACCCTGAACAATTGCATACGTGTCACAGCCAACGGCGATGAAGCTATTCGCAGTGTTGTTCACAGTAAACAACGAAGGTAATACTATAAATGGCTTGGTTCTATCCGTGCTTATCCCATCACGATAACAATCTCTGGATATGAACTGTAAGACATTAAGTTGCCCAGAGAGATATATGCTTGTGATTTCAATACCACTGTTTCCTAAAAAAGGCTGGGGAGTTGGAAAGGAGTAATTACAAGTGACAAGGAACTGATCGTGTAGTGTGCAATCTGGGGTCATACCAAATGGGAAAGGGATGTTGACATTTCCACAACTTTCATTGCAGTTAGGTTTGGCTATGAGATTGTTGTGTGACGTTGGTAACATAGCATCATCACCAAAAGATAGTGAAAAGCAAATAAATGTTATCAGAGCAACTATCATCACATAATTAGGAGCCATTGTTAAAGGAGACTATATAGGGATGTAAGTATTATGTGTAGGTTGTGATTTTTAATACTTCGATTCGCCCATCCTTTTATAGGTACTTATAAATTTGGAAGGACTAATTTCATTGGAATAGAGCGCCAACTACGTTAGAATTTTAATGTGGACTATGTCAACGAGAATTGACAACTTTATATGCAGCCAATTAAATATATATGGAGAATCTTTTAGTACATTGGAATAGAGTGTCAAATACGTTAGTAAATTGGAATAGAGTTTCAAATACGTTGGAATAGTTTTAGTACATAAAAGTTTTTCCAGAAAACAATGTGAGATGAGAATGAGCAAGTGCAGTCATTATCATGCTTTGTACGTATTTGTTGGAATAGTATGCAGGGTTTAATCAAGAAAGTTCAGACAGTATTAGAAGAGAAAGTGACTGAAAATTTAAAGGATTAGACCTCTTTTTCTTGGAAATTATTGATGAGGGGTCTTATTGAAGAGAAAGTGTCAAAATGCATTAAATCACAATAGTCAAATTCTTGTTGGAACCATTTTTCTTCGACACACTATCACTAGCCGGAATCATTTCCCTTCAACTTTATATCATATCACTAGCCGGAATTTTTTCCCTTCGGTTTTATATCATATCACTTGTTGGAACTATTTCCCTTTGACCCAATATCACTAGCCGAAATGATTTCCCTTCGTTTTTATATCATATCATTAGCCGGAACCATTTCCCTTCGGCTTTACATCATATCACTTGCCAGAACCATTTTCATTCGGCATAATCATCACATATCTCATCATGGTGCCAAGAAATCAGTGCAAATAAGTAATTTCACACCATAAGGAAGAGACAACAACTCAAACAATTCAAGTCCACAATAATGTCATCAAAGCATTTCATCAACATTCAGGTTCCACAACAAGGCAATTCACAAAACATTATGATCAACCCGTTGCCTTTTTCATTAATCCCTTTTTTATTCAATAAGATCTATCTAGTGGAATAATTGAACCTATCACCTCATTCTCAATACTCACAAACACACACAATGAAGGGAAATCTACGATTCTACTAGTTTTATGCAAGGTTTAGAAATCACTTGCCTCAATTCAATGAAAAGTCAATACAAGACTTGAGCCTTCCCTTTTTGAACAATGTCCAAAGCCATACAGTCTAATTCAATCAAGTAATCACAATAAGATTCTAGAAATAATAACACCCAATCATTCACTTTGAAAAAGGGGTCAAATTAACTCAAAAAACTCAATTCCGAGATTGAGGTTTGAATTCGAAAATCTTTACTTGAAAATGTTATCCAAGACATTTGGAATTCATTGGTGAAAACCATTTTGAAAAAGAAATTAAAAATCAGTTCATAATCACTATTTTACTATAGAACTCAAGCTCTTGAAAAAACTTGTCATTTGCCAATCATAATCTCAAGTTTTGATATTAAAATTCATAAATGGTAAAAGGGAAATGAAGTTTTAGGGTTACAAAAACTTACCCAATTGATTCACCACGAAAGATCACTTAAAAATCGTCTCCAAGGATTTTTCAAAGCTCAAAATGGGGGAAAATATGGTAAACCCCGAAATGGCAGGCCAAAAAGGGTCTCCGACAGGGGCGGATCTATTAAGGCCCGTGGGGGTGCCACGCCACCCACAAGCTTCGACGGAAACTCTATTTATATATAAGTATTTATATACAACATATGTATAAATAATAAACGTGCCACCCAGAGAACAAAAGTGTTCTATGGCGTAGTGGTAGACCATCTACTTAACGGGTCAAAGTTCGCGGGATCGATTCTAGCTAACAGCTTTTTGTTTTAATTTTTTTCAACTGCAGGCAGCCTTTTTTTGTTTTAGTTTTTCTTTTTAACTGGAGGCAGTGTTTCTTTTTTAAACTACAAGGCACATTCTCTTTTGTTTTTTGATTTTTTCTTACTTGTTAACTTATTGTTATGTATTAATCAATAATTATTTTTTAACTAATTGAATTCAACCCTTTGACTTTTCTTTATATGATTAAATATGAAAAAAAAATCTCTTCACCGTTGAAACCCTGACTTTTCCTTTAAACTTTTGAACAACAAAAATTTGTCATTAATTAACGCTTCAGCCTTCCGTTCATCGCCCAATCCTGCTCTCCCATCCAGCCACAAGACGAATAATTCTATCTGAATGTAAAATTGATTTAATCAATGAGTCTACTGGCCATTAGAGACGAATCCAAAATTGGAAGATTTCGATGCACCATACTATCTTAATTTAGGTAATTAATGAAACTTTTACTACAATTAACGAATAATGTAGTATTTGATTGGTAACTAATGACTCAAATATGATTTCTAAGCTAAACTTAAAATAAAAATAATGAAATAAGACTCTAGCTAGATTTGAACCGTATTCTCGCGAGTGGTTCCTCCGGCTTGTACCAACTAAACAAGGGCACTCCTACGCTTCTTATGGGTGCACTGTTGATTATATCCTACTTTATGTCAGTTTCTCACGATAGATATACATATATACACATGATTTTTTTTGAAGTTAACAGATGCACATGCACCCCTATCAAATCATGTGGGTCTGCCTCTGCTTGGCACCCAGTGACTCTAAATCCTAGATCCGCCTCTGGTCTCTGACATTGCTTAAGCTAACTCCACAAATTCACGACCATCACGATTGCAACCCATGGTTCGCTTAAGTGAACGCTGTCCAAAAAGGGCCCTTCGCTTTTGCGACCAGGGTCTCGATAACGCGAACCTCGCAATCGCGAGGTACCCTTCGCGAAAGCGAGGCACACCAGCATCAGAAATATCAACCAACTCTCAAAACATCAAATGGACCCTCAAGATTCATTCAGAACCCCGTACACACAAACCATATATGCAAATTGACTAAACTCGACATTCCAAACTCAATGGAACCATTAAAACACGAATCCAAGATTTTCTTGACCTGAGTCTGTGTAAGTCGCAAAAAAGGAACATAACGATTACACAGGCCAAATCAAGCTCGGGACTTCTAAAAATTCAATCAAGACCTCACCTATGCCTAAAATCATCCCTTGAATCCAATGGAACTCTCGAAATTTCAATTTGAGTATTCGAATCTCAAATGTTGACCAAAGTGAACCCAAAATGCTAAAATTCCACAATTTTCTAACTTAGGACCTCAAATCCTTATAAAGACTCTGAATCTAAAATCAACAACTTTCTTAGACTAATTTCCACAATCCGAAACTGATGAAATTGACAGAATTCTATTTTGACACTCAAAACTCCAAAAGATACCGAAACCACTTTTTAACAATTTTAGCCTTTCGAATTTCCAATATTCCATAATTCACAACTTTTAACTCAAAACTCAAAATCAATTTCAAAACTCATTCAAAAATGACTCGTGACCAAAATTGGTAGGGGTAAAATAGTAATTTTATGAAAACTTCCAAGAAATGACCGACTGGATCATTATAATTATTATTATATATCGAGAATCTTTTAGTACATAAAATTTTTTTCAAGAAAATAATGTGAATGCCTACTTTTCCGTTTGAAGGAAGATGAGAATGAGTCATTCTCATGCTTTGTACATATTTGTTGGAATAGTTTGCAGGGTTTAACCAAGAATGTTCAAAGAGTACTAGAAGAGAGTGACTGGAAGTTTAACGGATTAGACCTCATTTTCTTGGAAATTATTGATGAAGGGTCATATTTCAAAGTTTAGGAAGTTATGGCTACTTTTAAAATTATGTAAAAGCCTAAAATTCAATACCCTCGCACCTTGTTTGGATGGTTCTTACCCATTGTATTGTGAGTTTAAATACAATGTTTGGTAAGATTTTTACTTAAATTTTATTGTGTCGTATTGATTAATCCCAGCATTAGGTAAAGACGAAAAAATTCATTTTGTTTAACAACCTATTTGGTATGATCACGTCGTTACCTAAATATTTATTCTCATTTTATCTTTACTTATTATTTAACAATTATATTTTATTATCTACCTTAGTGTTCGTAGTACTTTATCTTGTATTCTACTTTTCTTGTAGGTTTATTATTCAATTGTAGATGTATGACATTATGTAACGACCGAGAACAATACATTCTATCCAAATATTGTAATCATTAAAATAATATAGTATAGTATCATATAATACAACACAACACTATACAATATATTATGAAATAATACGTAACAATTATCCAAAACAAAGTGTTAGTCCCTCCTAGCTATCTGTTATGGTATGGTACGTACTGTATGATACAAAAAAAATTCCGTCTGTTAATTTTGCCTTTTGATATGTAAAAATACCATGTTATTATCATATTAAAACAATTTGGTATTTTACAGTTCGTTTTTGATATTTTGTAGTGTAGTAAATCAATAATCATAGTTTGTTCAACTCCGACTTACATATATTCACATACTAGAAAATCATGACTTTGACTTTTCAAGAAATGTTTCAATTATATCATACTAATAATACCTAACACATACAGAAATATCTAATAACTTTCCAAATACAATAAAGTAGTCAAAGCTTGAACATCTAAAAATTAGTACTTTTGTACTAACATTATTTTATATATTTTCTAGTATTACAATAATATACCTTAATTGTGTATGTAACTATATAAAATATTTCAGTATGATATTCAATATATTATTTTATAAATATCAAATATCATATCAGATATATTTTGTTTTAAAAGTACATATTATCAAATACTATAATACTGAAACAATGTACGCCTCCTAATAACTCACTAGAGTTATGCCTAACTTTTGCTTGAGTAGTGGACCGAGTTACTTTACCTCTTTCTTAGACCTTATTAACAACTATGAATCATAGTAAAGTATGAACATGGTGTGTTACGTGGAAAACACCTGATTTACAAAGGTGAAAATTATGACCTACACCTCGATAGGATTTACCCTAAATTCACTAAAACGATGAGCCTCAACAGATTTCAATTTTCAAGATTTGCGACACAGAAACTAACTTTAACCTTAAAGCATTGCCTTCACAGATTGTTGCTTCCATTTCAAGTTACCTATAGCTTGAGTTCTTTTTTTAAAATTTATTCCTAAACAGCTGCTTCTAGGAAAGATGAAAATAATACGACTCGATAATAGACCTAATATTGATGGAACAAGTCAGTTATTTTTTTGGTTCATCTATTTATTCCAAGTTAAGACATGGTCCAACCAGTGGCGGAGGGAGGATTTTCATCAAGGGGGTTCAAAAAAAAAGATTAATCACATACATATATCTAAAAACTTAAATAGATCATTACAATTGTACTCTACGAGGTTTCATATCTTGAAATGTCTTAATAATAGCATCATTAGGAATACTATCAAATACATCTTTTTCTACAAAAGGCACCAAACAACCACTAAAAAAATCATCACTCATTTGACTTCGCAAGTCATTCTTGATAAACTTCATTGCCGAGAAAGCTCTTTCAACGGATGCAGTGGCAACTGGTAGAAGTAGAGCAAGTTTCACTAAGTGGAACACCAAAGGATAATTTGAATGTTTTTTTGTTTGGACTAACCTTTTGGAAAGATCACAAAGTCCATTTAGATCAGAGAACCTTTCATCAACATCACGAACATCAACAATATAACTTGCAAGTTGATTCTCAAGAGTATCCATATTAAATTCATCAAAATCATCTGGATATAATTCAGCCATCCTCATTATTTTTTTGCTGTCAAAACTTGAAAACGTTAATTGGATTCAAACAAGCAATTCCATGGAGCAAATCAGTAGATACCTCATTAAAACGATCATTAAGCTCTTGAAGTTGCCAATCAATAATATTGCAAAACACTTCAACACGGTAATGATGTAAGACTGTATAGTGAGCAAGTCTTCGCCGTGATCTTAAAGAGCTAACATATGGCTCCTCAAAGTTAGGTATCAAAATTTCATGTTTGGTACAAAATATAGATACCTTAGCAATAAGAGAATTCCATTCATCATCCCTTAAAACTTGCAACTTTTCTTTGCTACTTCAACAAGTAGCATGGCATTTGCAACATCTTGCTCCTTTCTTTGTAAGCATTTATTGAGCTCATTTGTGATTGCTAATACATCTCTCATCAAATGCAACATGAACGCAACCTCAAATGTTTGACAAGATTCAAGATGTCCCATTGCCTTGGCTCTTTCATCCATACTTCGTGCATCAAGAGCAAGTGATTCAAGAACTTCAACAATAGAGCCAAACATAAGAATAAAATTGTTAAAGGATTTATAATGAGATCCCCAACGAGTATCACAAGCTCTTGAAAGACCAAGTTGTTGATTCAAGCCCCTACCAGTTGTCAATTCACCCATATCTAATGCATCTTGAATTACTGCTTTTTGAGAATCTCGTAAATCATCCATACGCTTAAAAGAAGATCCCAATACATTAAAAATATTTGAGACCAATACTACAAGTTGTCCCACTTCAACACACTTTTTAGAGACCCCAACAAGAGCTAGTTGAAGTTGATGAGCAAAACAATGTATAGAATGAGCCGATCTACTTTCTTGCCTAATCAACATTTTAAGTCCATTGACCTCACCTTGCATATTGCTTGCCCCATCGTAACATTGTCCACGCACACGTGATGGACTCAAAGAATGTTGAGCAAGTAAATTAATAATTGTCTCTTTCAAGGATAATGCACTAGTATCTTGAATATGAATAATGTCAATAAGTCGCACCATCACAAATCCCATTCTATCAACATATCGTAATACAATAGCCATTTGCTCCTTGCGTGAAATATCAAAAGATTCATCAACTAGTAAGGCAAAGTAGTCACCATTTAGTTCCTCGAGAATAGCTTTAATTGTTTCTATCTTGCATGCAGTCACAATATCTTTTTGAATTATTGGAGAAGTCATTTGATCATTTTGAGGGGCATGTTCAAGTACATAATCACGAATTTTATCACATCTTTTTGCATACCATGAGAGAATCTGAAGAAAATTACCCCTACTAAGTGATGATTTAGATTCATCATGACCTCGAAATGCAAGTCCTTGAGTTATGAGAAGTCTTACTACATCAACCGAAACACTTAAGAGGATATAATATCCATATTTAATTTGATTAGATTGTCTCTCAAAAGTAGATTGAATCGACTGTTGTTGCCGTAGTAAATCTTGACATTTCTTTTTTGATCGATTATGTGGGCTATTCTGCAGACCAATATGCTTGTCAAGACCGCTCTTTTTATTCCAATTCTTAAATCCTGTACATGAAAATACTTTGCCTCCACCTTGATTAATAATGTGATCTTTAAATAGATAGCAATACAAACAATAGGCTGCATCTTTACTAACACTGTACTCCAACCAATCATGATATACATCATCAAACCATTCATGATTAAAACGACGCATTGCTCCAGAAATATTTGTTTGAGGGTACTCATGCACCTCCAAGCGAGGTTGACAAGGACCATTCACAAGGTATGCCCTTCTAATAACATCACGATGATTTGGATGATAATTCAATATTGGAGTTCTTTCACCGGGATCAAACTTTAAAGTACTCAAATCAAATTCTTGAGAAGAATGTGATGGTACTTCAGAATGATTGACATTTTCTTCTTGGTTAGATTGACTATGACTATGAGAGGCTAAACTTGATTTCGATATTGGGGTAAAATACTTCTTCATTGAATATTAAGACTGGATTGTAAAGTAAAAGTTTAGTTAGAATTTAAGAGAAATAAACACACATTCAAAAGTCAGAACTATTAAAAAAAAAAAACATACACACAAGAAGGACCAAAACCAAAAAGCTTAAGCAATGGTTATTGGATTATTACATTATATTTCTCTATCTCTCCAATTTTAGATTAAGAAAATATATTAAATTAGCCAAACAAAAAAAATGAAACTTCAATGATATCAATAATTCAGCCAACTAAAAGAAAGCACATCAAGAAATAACGAAATAAGGTATATAGAAATCTAGTAAGAAAAAAGGGAACCAAAAACATACCAAAGTAATTATTAATGGAGATGAAAGAAACGATTGCGGATATAGACTTCAAGATTTCAATAATGACCAATCCAACAAAAGCAGCAGTGACAAGGAGCAGCCAGCAGCAGCCAGTAGTGACAAGCAGCAGCCAGAGCAAGGAAGAAGAACGATGAAAAAAATAAAACGTGAAAAAATCCTAAAAGAAGAAAAGGGTTTTTTAATATTTGACTTTGTAATTAGGGATTATCAGGTTTTTAATAAAGAAGAAAAGGGCTTTTTAATATTTGACTTTATAATTAGGGATTAAGCTAATAAATCTTAAATTCCCGCCTAAAATAAAAGGCTGATAAAAAATTGCCTCTGTTCGGATTCGAACACGCGACCTAACGGTCAGGAGCGCGAATTCTTGAACCCCCAACGCCGCTGAGCTACGCCTTTGGTGTATGTTCAGGGGGTTCAATATTATATATATACACATAAATAAAAAATTTAATTGTATATATATAGTGTAATTTTTCGATGATGGGGGTTCGGATGAACCCCCTTGGTTCAACGTAGATCCGCCCCTGGGTCCAACCCTGTAGCTCAATGAATTCTCCCTTTTTGTTGATGACAAGCTCGTATGATTTTTAATATGGTTGATACTGTGAGAATTCGTTCCTAATCCCTTTAGTTTGATAAGCGGGCCTACTATTCTTGGCTAGGCGGAAACATATGTGTATATGATTCTTTTTGTGAAGCTAAGAATGCCTTTAGAGTTTTAAAAGTTGAGCTTAAGATCATTTTATGTAGCTATCTAAATCAAGATGGTTGTACTTATAATAGGGTTGGCAAACAGACGGGTCGAGTGAAATATGGATCGGTCGAAAATGATTCAGGTGAAAATGAATAAAATATTTGACTCGACCCTTATTTAATATTGATAAAAATGTTGGGTTTTATTTGCCCTGATTTCATACCATAAATAAGTTTTTCCTTTTAGGAAAAGGTTTAATATTTTGACTAGTCCTTTTTAGGAAAGGTTTTAGGACTCTATAAATTTATGTTTGTTCCTTCTAACTTAATCAACATTCACAATATAGTCTTCAGAGCTTTAAGAGTTTTGGTTAGGGTGAGAATTTGTGGGATACAAGCTTGATACATAATCACTTGTGTGAACCTCCCATGTATTTCATGTGACTTGGTTGAGGTTATTTCTCTCTATATTTTGTACTCTCATGTTTATATAGTGGATTGTTCATTCCTTTGTGGATGTAGGTTGATTGACCGAACCACGTTAAATTTGTGTCTTATGGTGTATTTCTCGTTTGTCTTCTTACTCGTGGTCTATCGAAGTTTGCATTGCTTTGCTAGCTTCCGCATAACACCTGCTTAATTTCGATCCTAACAAGTGGTATCAGAGCTATGGTTCAATTAATGATGGAGCCAGGTTAGATATGAGTGTTCATCTTGGCGGGTGTAGTTCTAGCCGCAACTTTTTAGACAGTAATGAAGATTTTTGTTGGAGAGATTGTTTCAGAGAGGTTCTCTGTGTCGAAACGTATATTTGATGAAGGAGATTATGGAGAAGAGATGCAAGATCCTAAAGATTATGTGAAGAAGGTGGACAAATTTATGAAATTTAGGCCAAGGGGGAGATTTGTTGGGTTTTATTTGCCCTGATTTCTTACCATAAATATGTTTTTCCTTTTAGGAAAAGGTTTGATATTTTGGCTAGTCCTTTTCTTGTAGGAAAGGTTTTAGGACTCTATAAATATAAGTTTGTTCATTTTAACTTAATCATCATTCACAATGTAGTCTTAAGGACTTTGAGAGTTTTGGTTAGGGGAAGAATTTGTGGGACACAAGCTTGATACGTTATCACTTGTGTGAACCTCCCATGTATTTTGAGTGAATTGGTTGAGGTTATTTTTCTCTATATTTTGTACTCTCATGTTTATATAGTGGATTGCTCATCTCCTTTGTGGATGTAGGTCGATTGACCGAACCACGTTAAATATTTGTGTTATGGTGTATTTCTCGTTTGTCTTCTTACTCGTGGTCTATCGAAGTTTTCTTTGCTAGCTTCCGCATGACACCTGCTTATTAATTTTCGATCCTAACAAAAAATGGGTAAATACAATGAATAATATGAATTTCCATATTACTCATATTGTCCATTCCTTCCCATTATGTAGAGAAATACGTACTTGCATTACACAATACTTTTCTCTTTTTCTCCTTTTAGGGAGTGTTTGGCATGAAGGAATATGTTTTCATGTTTCCTAGAAAATATTGAATTTGAAAATGAGTGGTCCTAAGTCGAGATTGAGAGGTCAAAATTTGGGTCTCGAGTCAGGATCGAAAGTTGGATCGCAGATCTAGACTTGTTTTGGGTGGTAAAGCTTAAGGAAAGTTTTGAAAATTATTTTTCTGATGTAAGAAAAGTTTTGAAGAAATAAAATCTCTTACTTTATGCATGAAAGTCACATTTTCTTAAATTAGAGAAAAATAAGCCAACTATATATCGAGAATCTTTTAGTACATAAAAGTTTTTCCAGAAAATAATGAACGGTTACTTTTTCGTTTGAAAGAAGTGTTGAGTTTTAAAGGGTGTGAATGGAAAATGAAGAATTGTGACTTTTATGTAGGATGAACAATAGGAAGGTAAGAATGAGCAAGTACAGTCATTCTCATGCTTTGTAATTAGTAAATTTCTTAGGAATCTCATAGTGTAAGAAACAAATTACATCATATCCTACTATTTTCCAATTTACAAAAACCCGTTAAAATTGTTGTCATCTGGATACATCCCATTCTTCCGGATACATCACATTTGATACATTATACAACTAGTTTGGTGAGATTAAAAAGAAAATTAAATATAAAATTAAATGTCAGTTCCCCAAATCATGCAAATCAAATTGATGTCAATCTCTCTCAAATAACAGCTCCAAACAATTCAAATTTCAAATTTACTTCTCTAAAAAATCTCAAAATCGTAACAGATTAAAAAAATTAGTCGACAATTTTATATAGTTATGTAGCATATACAAAAGAAACTAGGAATATGATATACACTAATTTATTTTTAAAACAATGTTGCAGAAACTTAACATGTGATACATCAGAACATTTGATACATAACTATGTTATATACATAACAAAATCATGTGTCATATACATAATTATGAATATGATACAAACTGATTTTGTTATAAAACATTAGTGTTTATGTATCAACAATAATATTTGATAGTCTCTACAAATACATAGTCTTCTACTAGTTGAAGAAGGCTGAGTGTATGTATTGGTGGTAAAAGATAACGAAATTTGTAATAGTTGTGTATCCAATGCATAACTATGAACATGATACATACTAGTTTGTGTTTCAATAAATAGGGTTATGTATCAAAACTAATATTTGAAAACGATATCTTGCACATGATAAAATTGTAATGTATAATAAAGGTGAAATGAACAAATTATACATTAATTTAAGAATCAAAATCAACTAGATACATTAAAAGATCTGCTGAAAGCAACAGAAAATAAAAAAAATTCAACAATTTGATCTGCTAAAAGAAAAAAAATGAAGAAGAAATTATTACACACTTTCTCTTTTGCTCTGTATCAACTCCTGTAGCTTTTTTTAACTTTCAACAATGGCATCACCCATGGATCTCGACCCAAAACCCTTACGGAGCACCAACAACTCGACTTTGTCCCCCTTTTTTGGCTGTTTTTTCCACAGTCGATTTTAAAGTTGAAGATGCATCCTTCTTCGACTAAATTTGTAGATGAAAAAGCTAAAAAAAATAAAATTGATACCTGATGAAATTGTGTAGTTAAAGAATGTGTTGTTAGATAACTTTTCCTAGTATTTATTGTTGGAATATTATACAGGATTTAATTAAGAAAAATTAAGAGAGTACTAGATGAGAAAATGACTCAAAAATTAACGGATTAGACCTATTTTCTTGGAAATTATTGATGAGGGGTCATATTTAAAATTTTAGGAAGTTTTCGCAATTTTTAAAATTAAAATGTAAAAACCTAAAAGTCAATACAGTCGCACCTTGTTTGGAAGGCTGTATTGTATTGCATTGTTTTGTGAGTTTGAATATAATAATTGATTTGATTGTTACTTAAATTTATTTTATCCTATTGTTTAAATATTCCATTATTAGGTAACGACGAAAAACTTCATTTAGTGTAACAACAAATTTGGTGTGATCGCGTTGTTACCTTAATATTTTCTTTTCATTTTATTTTTTTTACTATTTGATAATCATATTTTATCATTTACCTTACCTTTTCTAGTAGCTTTATATGATATCCCATTTTTCTTGTAGGTTTAATTTAATATTTAAATTGTAGATGTGTGACATTAATTTCATTTGGGTGTTCATCGACAAGCTGATAAAATCAGCCCATTTCTTGTCAGTCAGGATCATATTTTTAGCTGAAGATTATGCAATTATTGTATATTAGAGAGATTGTAATATTGCATGGTGTTCTTGTATTGATTATTTCAAACAAAGGGGTACAATTTACAACACATTTTTGGAGATCTTTCTAGAAAGGTTTGGGGACATAGGTCAATCTTAGTACAACATTCCATCTTCAAACTGATGGCCAAGTTGAACGTACGATCCAGATGCTCAAGGACATGTTACACGCGTGTGTGCTAGGTTTCACAAAAACCAGG